CTATATCATTTTGCTTAACCAATTTCCTTTTTTGCTTAAATGTAATTTTATTCTTGATGACAAAATTTGCAAATAACTTTGAAAAAACCAATACACCCTATTTCTCAGAATCTTTCTGAGGTCCTGTCACCTCAACCAGGTGTGAGTGAGTGCCCGCTGAACATCTTTAACACCCCTTTGAAAACTTAGGATCTCTGTTTCATGACTGACTGCATCAAGGTTAAAAACTCAATACACAAGCAAATACAGTTCACTTCAACTCTGTCTCAAGTCTCTCATCTACAGAAAGAAAACAGCCTCTGAAAAATGGTTCCACTTTCATAAAGCCTTCACAGGAATAATAATGAACTCCATGACCTAAAAAAAGGTACTTGGGGCGGGACCAGGTGGCTCACACCTGTAATCCCAGCACTCTGGGAGGCTGAGGTGGGTGGAACATTAGAAGTCAGGAGATTGAGACCAGCCTGGCCAAGATGGTGAAACCCTGTCTCTACTAAAAATACAAAAATTTGCCCGGCATGGTGGCCACATGCCTGTAATCCCAGCTACCTGGGAGGCTGAGGCAGGAGAATTGCTTGAGCCTAAGAGGCAGAAGAGGCAGTGAGCCGAGATCACACCACTGCATTCCGGTCTAGGGGACACAGTGAGACCCTGTCTCAAAAAAAAATTAAAAAGGTACTTGGTAATTTTTAAAATCATTTTGTATTGCATATTATTCTTTTCTAAAGATTTTCAAGCTCATTACTTCCTTACCACAACTCTATTATATGGACTTATGTTGTCACTTTACAAATGACAAAGCTTAGGACCAGAAAAATGGAGTCTTGTTGGGTCTCACATCACCATGTTACATGAGGTAGAACTAAATCAATGGCCTCCTCAATCTGTGTTTCAATCGCTTTTAACAGAACTCACAGCATTCAAAGGAACGGTTCCCTTCTTCACCTCTGAAAAATCACTCATCAGTGCATAGTATGTTTCAGGACAAGGAGATATGATGTAAGGAGTGTGCCAGTAGATCCAAGGCAGCAGGCAGGAGAAATCTACAGAAAGACTTTTTTAGAATGTAGTCAAAAGAAATCAAAACTGCTATTTATATGTCACATTTTACATTACTGGCTTTAAAAATGTTGAGTGTACTAGAACAAAGCTGTTTTTTTCCCAAAATATTCTCCACCCTACCTCAGAACAAATCTCGTTAGAAATGCTTGCATCTGGAGACTTATTAGTGGAAGGGGAGGAAGCACTTCTGTGTAATTTTCCTCTGGGTGAGGGAAGAGTAAATCACAATCCTGCCCTTAGTCACTCCAACCATAAGAACAGCAAGTAAGTTCTTAATTCTGCACTTGTATAAAACTCTACTCTTTATCAGTGTTTATCTGTTTGTTACAGTTTCCAATGTGTTGTCTTCTGTTTATTCATCTCGGTGTATACTCTGTTGTCCTTCAGATTGTAAACTCCAATAGGTGACATCATGGGTGTCCTGCCTAGGTTTATAAAGGTAGAGCACTCGGCCACAAGCACAGAGGCATCAGATGCTATTTGATAAGTGGATTAAGTTATATTTATACAAACTCTATAACAGATTAAATTTGTTCTAACAAAACAGTGGGGATTAGCACTAACTAGGCCATTTGGCCTTAGGTATACTCTTCTCTGGCATTTACACAACTAGCTAATAAGCAGCTGCAATGCCTTCACTTGTTCTTCATATCCCAGATAATACATATGCTTACCTACCTCATTTAACTGCTCCAAAACAAAACATTTGATAGCCCAGGGTCTTTTTACCTCCCTGCTAAACATTTTCAGGGGAACTACCCCATTAATTTATAAAAGACAAGAAAAAAAAACACGAACAACCTTAAGATAATGCTTCAAACTTGAAACACACATGTAAGTCACTGGGCATAACTTGGCTTGAAAACATCCTGGCCCTAAATCCAAGGTAACCAAGAACATAATTCTACTTTTGACTTGAGTCACTGTACACATCATTTTTTTTTGTTGTTCCTAATTTATTTTTCTGGTACAAAGCGTTATTCAAATGTAAATACCATAATCATATAGCATCCCTGGCTACTTCTCCCAAGCATGTAAGTTTGATCAATCATGATTCCTTTTGTTTTCCTAGGAACCTCTTTCCTCAAAGCTATGAAAAGGGCTTTTTGTTAAGATCCTAAAGGAAATACTCCAGAAGAAATCTTGACTGTGATGATCCTGTTTTTAGATGAAATGCCAGGAGGCACGAAGTCCTGAAAAGGACCAGTGATATAAACTAGTTATATTAGACAACAGATTTCCTCCCCAATCAAGTGTGTGAAAACTGGAGGAATGAGAATGGTCATAAGCCCAGCAAAGGGACTAGAAGTGCACAAGAGTAAAAAGAGTTACAACAAGGGCAAAACAATTCTGAGAAGAGAAGTTTAAAATAACCAGTGAAAGTCCATCATGGAAACAGAAAATATACAAGCTCTAAAACAAACAAACAAACAAAAAGTTGGATCTTAGATTTTCCCCCATATACACTACAAAACTGCCCAAAAAGTCTACCTGAATCCTCAGTGAACTTCCAGTCTCCAGATCTCTGTTCCTTGTGTTGCATCCTGTATTTAAATACACTAAATACATATAAATTACATCCTATAATACAAATTCATGTCAGGAATTCTTGATTTTTAATCTAAGGGTTTTACCGTAACTTCTAAAACTCTATTCAACTACAAGGTAGGCTCCCAAGGGCAACTAATGCTCTGCGTAAGGCACCTTGTTCCCCCGGAAGTACATACCAGCTCCTATTTGGCAAAATCTGGGTAAAATGAAACACAGGTTCACAAATTTTTAGGTAGAGAGAAAAATTTTCCCAGAGGCTTTTCCCAGTCCAGCTACACAGCATCTTAGAGTTAGGCCAGGTAAAAGAGCAAAAGGAAAAACTTGCTTGGGGTCTCCTTGGTCAGTCTGGTGAGCATAGGATGATGTGTTCACATTTTCCAGCATCCTTGCTCACATCTGCTACTTTACTTTCTTTTCCATGGTGACCTGTATCAGGGATACTATTGAAGGGGACCCTTATCAAGTAGGATGTTCAACTGGGATCCCCAAATTCTCCAAAAACATCAACCTCAAATGCTTGTAGAAAATTCTAATGAGGTCAAAAAAAAAAAAAAAAAAAAAAAAAAGATGGTACTTGGCACAATTTACTGTTCTTCATTGTACACCAACGAGAAGTCAGAACACCACTGAAAATGTTCCCACAAGATGGGAATCAATTTCCCTAACATGGTCCAAAGCCCTAAATATAGCCACAATTTTTTTTTTTTTCAAATAAACTCAGTTAAACTTGTGGAAAGAGGAAATGATGGTGGACAACCGGGCAAGGAGAGCACAGAACACAACGACAATGTAACCGCCACTATCTCCTCATGAATTCAAATGGCTTTAAATGTCCTTGGCAAGAGCTGCCAACGTACAGACACCTGTAATACCCCATGCCCCATCCGCTCCAGGCTTTGTGCCCTTGATGGAGTCTGGGTTACAGAGAGGGAAGGGAAGAAATTACACACCTTGGGCCCGAAGTAACTCTATCATTCTGCGGAGGTCCATGGCATCACTAATACTCAGACTAGCAAAAGGCATAGAATTCCCCACTCAAATTATAAGGCTTGTTAGCCTAAAGAAAACATGAAAATTTAACTTGGGAAGTTTAAAGTCCTCACAATATGCCTTCCAAGTGCGCGCGCGCGCGCGCGCGCACACACACACACACACACACACACACACCACACACACGAAGTTATTTAATTTTCACGACTACAGAGACTGTTTTAAATGATGGAATTCAAGAAAAGCAAAATCTAGAACATAAAACTTAATCCAGAATTTAGTTCAAAGTTTCACTTGAAACTTTTAAAAGGTTTATTATACTGGGCCTAGATCTGTTTAACAATAAACTGTTTTTGCAAGACATTTTGGGCAAAAAGCACCTCGCAGAGTGTCAGAATTGGGAGTTGATGTTCAATTTTAAAATGTGCTGAAAAATTGTTAAAGATAAACTTCTCAACATACGTGTGCTCAAAGGCAATACAGGATATTTTAAGGTATCTTCTAAAGTTAGCCCTTGAAATCAGAATAGCATAGGGATTTTTAAAGACAGTATTCTGTGGTCAAACTGATTGGGTCAAAATGCTGGCTCTACCACTGACAGGTGTGGATTTCCCGCAAGCCGCCTAAGTTCTCTGCGACTTTAAGTTTCCTCACCTGTAAAATGGGAATCATAATAGCGCCTACCTCACCACATTGTTAAAAAAGTAAATGAGACGGAAATCAACGTAAAGCATTTAAGATAGCAAGCTCTCCATAAATGCTATCAATATTCAAAGGTATGTGTTCGGGAGATCAAATCTATTAAACATACACATCAGCTCTAATCAACTGAAATCTCGGAAATTCCATAATTGCCTCTTACTCCCCCTTTCCACACATCATGCGGCATCAACCTTCCAAATGATGTGGAAATTACATACTTTCATTCATCCGTTTGAGAGCTTGTCATATACGGCACGAAAGAAGATGCATTTTTTTGTGTGACTGTTGCTCCTTCACAACTTCAAAACACTGTCACGTACACAATAGGTTGGAGCTGCCCTCAAAATGACAGCTCACAGCTTTGCAGGGCCCGCAGAGGCACCCAGGCGGCTCTGCCCGGAAGGGGCTCACCCCAATAACCGGAGCCACGCACAGCGCACGCCTGGGAACCCCAAGGAACACAAGAGAACTCTGAAAGGGGGAAGGACCCCGAGTAGTGGAGAAAGAGAGGGGAAGAAGGGTCACGGAAGGTCCGGAACCACACTCGGATCAGGCGCGTCCACGCTGACAAGCCCGGGACCGGGTGCCGGCGAAGGGCAGCGCCGTGCCGGGCAGCCCCTTCCCCTTCCCCTCCCCGGCGAGCACCGAAGCCAACTCCGGTCCCGCGCCAGACTCGCCCCCCGGCGCCCCCTCACCTAAAGGCGGGTCCTTCCTTAGGAGCCCTGCCCTGGGCAGACGCCGCCGCGGAGCTGCCGCCGCTGCCCCTTTTGTTGAAGAGCTTCTGGAGCAGCGTCGGGGCCATGATGCCGCCGCCGCCGCCGCCGCCGCAGCTCCGGCCGTGGCGCTCGGGGGGCCGGCGGCTCAGCGCGCAGCCGGGGGCGGCGGCCGCGGTGGCGGGGCCATCGCGGCGGCGCGGCCGCCCAGCCTTGCGGGAGCGCGGGGCCGCTGCGGCTGAGTAACTCTGCTCGGCGCCGGGGCCGCCGGCTGCCGGTCATATGACTGAGCCGGCCCGCCGCCGCCTCGCGCGCTGACAGTTATCTCCTGCGGGAGGAGCCCGCAGCCCCACGGCGGCGGCGGCGGCGCGGGAGGAGCGCGGAGGCCCCGGCGGCGGCCATTGGCCCGGCGGCCGCCCGCCCCGGGCTCACGTAACCCCGGCGGGAGGCGGGAGGCGGGTGGCGCGGCCCGGAGCCGGCGGGCGGCCGAGTGACTCCCGGCACGCGGGGGACTGGGCCGGGGGCGAAGCGGCACTTAAAGGGGCCCGGGGGGCGGGGGCGGCCGCCAGGGCGCAGCTCCGCGAGCGGCGTGGGGATCCCCCGGAGCCTTCGCTCTTTCGCACAAGGAGCGTGCAGCTAGGCCGATCTTTGTTCTTTAAAGACAAAGCCCCTGAACTTGGGTCCTCGTTTTGTTCAGGTACAGGAGCCCGTTCGCTGAAGGCGAGTGCTGGGGGAGAGGGCTTGGTACGCGCGGTGGCCGCTTCGGGGGGTTGTGACTTGAATCACACAGCAACCCAGGCTTTGGGCAGGTTTTTTCCATAACCAGATTCGATTCCTGCAGGCTTTCACAGAATTTAAACTGTTTATCCAAATCATTTGTTCTGTTTGGCGTCTTGGGCCACCATACCACGGTTATATAAGAAGTTGCGTTTGAAATGCTAAGCTCCCCCTTTAAAACACACACACACACACACACACACGCACACACACACACGGAACTCACTACATAGATTTAGAAACTTAAAATATTTTATAAGAAGGGACTGTTTTCCTATTGCATATTAACAATTACGGTAAAATAGTCTGTGATCAACGGCAGATACTTGGCTTGAGAAAGGGAGGAGTTCGCGTGTTTCAGTCCACTCTCCTGCCCTGCCCCACTCCACTCCCCTTTGGAATGTAATCCTTGGTGGTGCAGGGCTCTAAACAGCCACTGTAGGACATGCTACCAGATTCAAAGCAACTTCTTAATCTATGTTTTACAGCGTTTGGCTTCACGAATTTTTCTGATGATGGGAAATAGAGCTAAAGTTGGTAAGATCCCAACCATGCCTCTTGTAGCTTCTCCATGAGCAGTGAACAGCGACTTCACCCCTGGGCTCTCTCACACTTGTTGAGAGGAGGACTCCTGGAGACTCAAAAAGTGAAAAGTATTTCCAAAAACATAAGTAATCAAGAACACCTGATCTGGGCCTATTTTAATTTGCATTTTCTTTTCTTTCTTTTTTTCTTTTTTTATTGTGTTAGTTTCTGCACTTGGTTGGGAACTAGCTGTGAATAATGTGCTGAAATTTTACAAAAATAAGAGAAAGGTGGTAGAAACGGAAACTTAGTCATTGTTTCCTTCAGATTTTTTCTGTTAAAATGGTGGATTAAGTGTTTCTCCTGATGAGCAATCATTCTTTTGCACAGTTGAGTGTCCACAGAACCCTGATTGGCAGCATTGCTATTTCTGTCTCCCGAAGGCCTTTCCCTCCTAGGGCTGCCAGTGTTGGTCACTATGCTATATAGAAGGTATTGGCTTGTTACGTTGTACCATTCAGACACAGTCCCAGGCCATACTATGGCCAGCAACCCACCGCCTTTTCTTACTCCATCCTTGGTCAGAAAATGTCCTTTATTTTCCAGACTAAAATCGGCATGCTCCTCGTGAGCCTAGCAGCTTTTGTAACTACATATGGAAGAGGAATTTGACATATTGTGGCTCATTCCTCACTTCCTGGGACTCTTGTAGTTCTAACCCAGTCCAAATAGACAAGATTATCCCAAAGAGGCAATTAAAAAATCATAACCTGTTCCAGCCATCATCATCAATTTTGGTTTTGACTGGACATTTAAAACTATTAAAGCCAGGACTTTACTTAAAGGAGACAAAAGGAATCAAAGTGCTTCCCCTCTCCCACTTTCTCCCTTTGCCTCCCCTCAGCATCACATTCTTTCTCATCCTGGTTCTGGCCACACCTCCTGCTTTGGATTTTTAAAGTATACAAAAATCCTGGCCAACGAAGTTCTGGGATACAGCTCTAACCAGCTCTCTCAGTCTTTTTTTTTTTTTTTTTTTTTCCCTTGGCTATTTAAAGCCTCTACAAAAACCCAATCTTTTGCCCATCATCCATTGGTCACTGCCTGATCCTTCAGGCTTGTCATAATCTCAAGCTCCAGCACTGGTCATGTGGCCCATCGCCCAGTTCCATAGATCTCCTTTATTCACCTCTTCCCACTCACCCTATCTTGGAGAATATACCAGCTGGCTGTTCCTGTATGCAGCTGTCAAGAGGAGCAGGGAATAAGACAATATCCTGAATGCTTGGAGATGCCGGAAAAACACTAAAATGGGAAAGGGCAAGTTGTGAAGGGCTGACTTACTTAGTCTGGTCTGTTCTGAGTCCTGGTGACAGTTCTCTTTAATTAGTGTATATTCTGTAAGTTGTTTTAGTTCTGCTTCTGCAGTTAGACTGGCACTGATACTGTTTGTAGCCTATGTAATACCTGTCACCCTTATTCCTAACAGGAGGCTAGAGGGAAAGGAACTGGAAGAGAAGGAGTAATTCTGGAAAAAGTTTCCTCACTTTTAATAGAGACAGAGAGATAGGTAGGTTTTTTTTCTTCCTTTGGATGTTACATGTCTAGGTCTAATGCCACAGCTATGTTGCCACAAGCCTAAGGATGAAACCAGGACCAGAGGTGGCAAAGAGACGTAGAAGCGAGCTGGGTCCTCAATGACATTAGTGACCACAATCCCTCTACCCTAAGCTGACACTCTCCATTAGGAGGGATAGTATTTCTCTTTTCTTAGAGACCAGTCTGTAAGAGGCTGAGACCAGTTCATGTTTTCTATCCTCTTTATTGCTTGTTATATGAGACAAATAACACCAATCGGTTTATCTCTCAATATGCCAGAGAAAATACTCATCACCAATGGTCCTGTTCTGTTTTTTCATACTGTTAAGTCATTTTGCAAATCATTTACAGAACTAAGAATAAAGGAATAGTGAAAAATAATTCTTAAAAAATGTAATTTAAATATAGCAAACCTAGTTTTTTATTCTATCTTTTCCTGCATTTGAAGGATTATTTACCCTAATGAACAATGTTCTTTAAACAAAGCTGACTACTTATCAATCAGCATATATGAACCAGGAACACAATCATCTTGTAAATATTGATTCCAGGTTTCAAATACTTTTTTTTTTTTTTTTTTTGAGATAGTCTCACTCTGTCACCCAGGCTGGAGTAGAGTGGCACAATCTCAGCTCACTGCAACCTCTGCCTCCTGGGTGCAAGCAATTCTCATGCCTCAGCCTCTGGATTAGCTGGGACTATAGGCAACCATCACCACGTTTGGCTAATTTTTTGTGTTTTTAGTAGAGACAGCATTTCTTTCACCATGCTGGCCAGGCTCGTCTCGAATTCCTGACCACAAGTGATTCACCTACCTCAGCCTCCCAAAGTGCTGCATTACAGGTATGAGCTACCACACCTGGCCTCAAATACATCTCTAATGATTCTGACTTATCATTACCTTTGTGCTGCTTGTACGTGAATAAACAAAAAGCAGTGCTTTTGAAAACTTTGATGGCTCATCATTTTTTTGAAGAGATAATAGCTATTTTCTTTGTTTCTTAGTTGCAAAATATTTTCATTTTTAGATGTATAAACACCAATAAGAATGAGCAATTCAATGATTTTTTTCATCTCGTCCTCATAGATTTTCTTCTTTTCACCTTTGTATATATACATCTGCCTTGATCATTTGTTGTCTTATAAACTATATGAAGTATATTGGATGCACAGCATCATAAAAGATGACAATATGTCACACTTTTTTAGGATGGCTCAGGTTATTGTTGCAAAATATTGAATAAGGAAGTAATTCCTATTAAATGCCAAAGTGGATGAGATTACCCTCTTTCCTTTTTATCCTTAGGTATATATTGTTGAATTGTCAGTTCTTGAGTTTGAGAAAATATATCTAGGATATCATCACCTAAAGACTCATAGTCTGAGATTTCGCGTACATGTTTCAGACCAGGCATGATGGCTCACACCAATAAATCCCAGCACTTTGGGAGGCCTGGGTGGGAGGATTGCTTGAGCCCAGGAGTTTAAGACCAGTCTGGGCAACAGCATGGGACCCTCTCTCCACAAAAATTTTGAAAAAATAGCCAGGCATGGTGGTATACACCCATAGTCCTACCTACTCAAGAGGCTGAGGCAGGAGGATCACTTGAGCCTAGGAGTTTGAGGCAGCAGTGAACTATGATCACACCACTGCACTCCAGCCTGGCAAACAGAGCAAGATCCTGTCTCTAAAATAAAATAAATAAAAAAAATTTCACCGTCATCTTTAAAGTATTAGACATCTTTTTTGCATTAGACATCTGCTTTTTCTAATTATCAGAAATGTTTTTCTTTATCAATTTTCTTTGCTGTTATGGGAAAAAATGAAAAATTCTTAATATTTATCAACAAAAGCTTTAAAAAACAACAACAAATACTATGAAAATAATGTCTCCAGATTTTTTTTTCTACCCTGTTAAAAGATGGTAAAGTGTTTTGCGCATTACAATAAGATGATGGAAGAATCATCTAATAGCAATGATTTATTTCACTTTTGTCCCCAGTTTTTCTGTTATAACACCCACCTTCCTATTTTTAGCTTCTTTTGTACAGTTGGGAATAATTGCTGAATAATGTTGAAATAATTTCTAGGATCGTGATACAGCAAAATTTCTGGAGCTAGAGGAAATCAGAATAACCAAGATCCTGTTAAGTTATGAAAGGGTCCAGTGGACCCTGTATGAGACTTGCAAGATAGAATTTTATTTTATTTTTTAAAAGGGAAATTTACCTTTTTTTTTGGAAAAAGTAGGAATCTAAGAACAAATAAAAGTAACAAAATAGCCATCCTTATAAGCACTTGGAACCAGCCAGGCACAGCAGCTCATGCCTGTAATCCAATCCCAGCATTCTGAAAGGCTGAGGCGGGAGGACTGCTTTAGCCAGGAGTTAAAGACCAGCCTAAGCAACATAG